CGTCAATCAATAATAAGTCCGAGCGATAATTCAGGATTACCTATGCTTTCTTCAACAGAAGCTCATCAGTATCCCATTTTAGTTGAACAAATGATTTATCGTACACAACAGGAAAAGAGTGATTTTTTCAGTAACTCCTGGACATTTAAAGACGTGCTTGTTCGGCTTTTGGATATTATATCAAATCCTATACGAAACAAAATTGAAAGTATATACAGTCGGAATGTGAATTTGAATAGCATTGGAGTGATAAATAGTAAATTAATAAATCAGGGTCTTGTTGATAATTGCTGTCATTTATTAGCGCGTGTATTAGCCGAGATTGTATATCAAACCTCAATGTATGATGTAAGTTGGTGTTTGCTTTATATATCATTTTTTATATGGAATAGTAATTTATTTTTATGTAGTACGATAAAATGTTCCTGCCGCCGCGATGCTTGCATTCCACTGGCACACGGTTTGCACGCATGGAAAGCATGAGAACTTGGGCAACAGCTAATTTTGGACCTGAAGCAATAGCATTTTCAGTTGACCGATCAGGCATTGCTGTTGCGGGTGCATTGGTTTATTCTGGTTCAGGTAGTTATGATTACCAACTTGAACTTTTATATGATAACACAGTTGACCTGCAATCACAACATAAGTGGGAAACTTTAGAATCTGTTTCTGGATCTTTCGATCAAGAAGCGGTTCACAATGATATGGCGGAGATAAAATTTGAGCGATCTGTGCACGTGAAGGTTTGTTGACTAGACTAAATATAAACAAATAATCTTTTAAATTGTTTTTAGGAAAACGCACGTTATGCACTTCGTCTCTGCTTTCAAGGTGCACGCACATGTTCCGGGGATGAGGGAATGCCTTCAATACGTGGACCATGCGGCACTACATTTAATTTTTATACTTGCGATTTAAGCTTTAATGGTACAACTTTGCAACGTGGTCAGATACCTTGCCTTTTGTACTATAGTACACCATTGAAAAGTGATGCACCCAGTGGATCCAATACTGATTTTTGCAATGATGTGATCACACGAGACACTGCTTTGCAAATTGCTTCAGACATAACAAAAAAATGTACCGATTTACTTATCTTGGCACGCAACTATTTGGCTGCTTCAATATCTCCTTCAGATAATTCATCAAATCATACACAAACCATAGATTCGGAACATAATATTACGCCCATAGAAGAACACATGGATATTAATTGGGCAAACAACTCCAGAACTTCAGCTATACCGGTTGATCCCAATATATCAACTGCAAGGGATATAACGAAACGTATTGAATCATTCTCGAAAGGCATTATGGAAACCTTGAAGTTCGATAAACGCTCCACAAACCCATTTGAAATGGAAATTGAAATTGGCGCTACTGAAATTCATCCAAAGGATCTAATGATCGAAGAAAGTCCTGGTGTGCAAGATTTAAATTTCCGCAATGGTGAAATAGCTAAACTAAACGGCAATGAACGTGATGAGGATGAAGTAGCAGAAGACTTTGTTAATGCACAGCATTATCAGGGATTGATGTGCAGGTCAAACTCTGAAGAGATACCAGCACACTTAACTGTAGCACAGATGCTCGAAGTTTTTAACATGACATCATCAAGTATGTTTCATACACTTCTACCACTTGTTTATGCCCACATTGCTAATTTAGCTAACAGAGATCCAAAGGTAAAAAAAATATGTGCATTTATAGTATTTAAACTAAATAAATTTTTTCTCTTCACAGAGTTCTGTACAAATACTCGGCTTAATTAAGGAAATATTGCCACATATATCTGCGTTAAATCAATTATTCGTATCTAAAGAACAAGTGAATCCAGCAATCGGTACAGTGGCGCAGCGCATACGTAATGCAGCTGCAATAGTTATTGCATCTGAAAATAAGGAATTAGAACTACGTAAAAAGCCTGAGTTAGAGTTAAATCAACAGATTGGCGAAAAATTGGGAATGGATTCTAATACGACTAGTAACCACTATTGCGTTGTGGAAAGTGAGCATCCTTATCGCAGTGCTACCATTAATTGTTATCGTGTTGAGTTTCCACCTTGTGTTCAGTGGCTAACAATCGAATTCGATTCACAATGCGGCACTGCTCAATTGGAAGATTACTTGTTGCTGTCGATACCAATGCGATCGACTACCACTGAACCCTGTCAAAGTAATGAAGAATACTTTGATATGTTAGATAATAACATGTCGTTACGCCGAACTGTTGAATCTAAAAATGCAGCTCTTATAACGAGTTGTTACAAAAATAGTGGCACCAATTTGAAAGAATCAACTGAAAATTCGGACAAAGATTGGATAGTAGTTAAAAAATTTAATACGTTAGTTTTAAATTTTATTATAGTCATATTATTTTATGTACTACTATTTATATACGCATAATATATATACATTTATAAATTGAAAAATTAATTTTGTTTGTATTTCTTTTTCAGTGCTGCAAATTGGATACAAAGTGTTATCGTTTTGCCGGGAAATTGTGTGGAGTTTTCTTTAGAAACTTCATCTTTATACGCACAGGATCCACATATTAATCGCTATGGTTTTAAGTGTCTTGTGGTTGGTTATGATAATCCTATTTCTGTAAGTATTATCGCAGTTTATCGAAATGCTTTTGAAGAAATTTAAAGACAATCAATTATACAAGGTAAATACTACTAACTCTTGCTTAATTCGTTTGGAACAAGAGCTTGCTTATTTAGGAGGTATGTGTACTGCTAATTTGATGAAGAAAGAACTAAGTTTACCAGGTAAGTGTTCTAGAAAGAAAGAATACTTTTTGTATTCAGCCTTTTTTTTTGTTATACAGATGACAAGGATAACGCTGATCACGTTAGTATAGAAGAAACATTAAATGCACATCAAACACTACTTTCGAAAGGATTTGCACTATCGGAACCGGTCTTGACTATACATCAAGCCTTGGAATCTTCATTGCCAATAGGGTAAGTGGAAATAAATATCAAGTAAATATTTATACTTATCGGACATACTTAAAAATAGTTAAGTGGAAAAGTATAAATGAGTTAATTTAAACAAAAGTTTTAAATTAGTTAAATTAAACATTTAGATATGCTATTTTATTAAATAACATAATTATATTGTCTAAGCTGTGTTATGCTCATTTATAAGTATTTTCTATAATTATCTTAAATGACTTAAAGACAATAACTAAGCTGAACGGATGTAACTATTTAATTGATCTCAATATTAGTGGCAGCTTAATTCGCAAAAAAGACGTCGCTCACTTACAACGTAAAAAGCGGACTTACTGTGAGATTATATTGATATTAATCAATGTTTTTAATATAATACATTATATATTTATTAAATATGTAGATTGTATTTTTTGTATTTTTGTCTGAGTATTCTTACAACTCTAATTTATTATCAATATTTATTACAACTATAGATTTTATATTTTATATACATATTATACAATTAAATTACTAACTTAAATTTGGTAGAGCAGTTTAAACGGTTCAATTCATAGTACTCAGAAATAATAGCTTTTCGTAAGACGTAAGCACATAAGTATATAAAATAACTATTCATATTACCTAATTAGTTCTCTGCGCTTGCTTTATTAGTTTGGTTTAAAAATTAAACTCTTACAAATCAGTCTTAAGAAGGCCAGCATTTTCAATTTGGTATACAATTTGTGTTTCCTTATAGGTGCGTGGCTCTGGTATGACCACATCTAATTTCCTTCGTCTACGCTTCTTAACGAAATATATCCAAACACTGATTGCTATGATGAGAAGTAATAAAACTGAACCTACAATACCTAAAACTTTATATAATAAATAAGAGCGCTGCTGGCAGTCCTTCTCGATTATTTTGCCTAAGACTACAAAACTTTGGTTATAATTATTGGCATCATGTGAAGTGTTAAAACCCATTTTGTAAAAGAAAATATTGTCAATATTTGACAGAAAGAATTGATTTCTAGGCTTTGGCGGCTTCTGCGTTATATCCAAGTCCTTGCAATCGAACTCATTCTCATAGCGCAGTTGCTTTATATTAACTGCAAATGCTTCGGTAAACTCGAGAGCACGTGGCTGCTCATATGGTGATATGATAGTGTTGTTTGCTAGACGGAGTTCAAGACTTTCACTCGACATATAATCTCGATGAACTCTTATACCTGAATAGTGAGTTAAGTCGCATAAATTAAGCAATAACAGTTAATTTTCTTTATTTCTACCTTTGAATGCAATTACGCTAGTTCGGCCAAAGTAGTTTTCCCTGACAATGACATTATCACGCACATAAGCCTCGATCCATTCTCCATCAACAGCTTCAAAGTAATTATTTGTTATTATCAATTTAGAGATCACTGCAAAAAAAATTGAAGTTTTAAATGATTCCGAGAGCTATTATTTACAACTGCTCACTTACTTTTAAAGGAAAAAGCTCGCGTATGAACTTCTCTAAATTTTACGTTGTGAATGTGAAGTGAGTTTAGTATTTCCAATTCGTAAAACGCTTTTGATGGCACATTTTGTTCGAATACGCAATTTGTGATTTCCATTTGCTCAACTGCAAATTTCTTAAAAGCCTAAAAACAGAAGATTTAAAGTTTTCCACTGTCAAATGTTTATTAAAATTAAAAAGCTACACTTACTTGGGGTTCAATTTTCTTCACGAGCACATTTTCCATTTTTAAAATTATGGCACGATCCTTGAGCGTTGTAAAACCAAATGGATTTATAACACCAATGCGTCCACCAATAAAGGATATTTCTTCAATATTGCCATTTATCGCATGCGAATCTATTAATTCGAAATTCACCTGTAAGTTTTAATGAATTATTAAACATAAAATAAAGATGTCAAGATTGGGGACAAAGTGTCTTGATACATTGTGACCGAAAAGCTTCCGGAAATTTTAAATAAAACGCAAAATTCTTAATCTTCATCAATATTTATTTTATCTCCTTCAAAATATGCTCCATTAGAAGCGATACACAAATGCCAACGTTTCTTCCAATCATCAAAACATTTTTTATAGGCGCTTTCCGGTATGGCTTTGAGTTCCCTCTGCGAATTCTGTTTTACGTCTTATATGGATTCAAAACGCGTTCCTCTGAGTGGTAATTTGAGTTTGGGAAACAGGAAAAAGTCACACGGTGCAAGATCAGGTGAATACGGTGGCTGTTCGATGGTATTTATTGAATTTTTGGCCTTAAAATCGTTGATAATGTTGGCTCGGTGCGAGGGAGCATTATCGTCATGAAAAATCCATGAATTATCCTTCCACAATTGAGGCCGTTTACGGCGGATAGCTCTCACGACCGATGCCTAGCTCTCGTGCTATCTCTCTAACACTCACATGAGGATTTTGGAACACGATTTCCTTTGCCTTTTCAATGTTTTCGTCGGTGGTAGAGGCCGAAGGTCGTCCAGAACGCGGCATGTCTTCGACGGTCGTACGACCGTCCTGAAAGGCTTTGTACCACTCATAAACTTG